TTCATGGTTTCCTCCTTTCTGTTGAAATTGTCCACATGCCTGTGTATTTCAATCAAGGTAGTCAGTTGAAACATTCACACCTAGCTCCAGCAGACAACAGTCCTTTTTCCCACCCTGGTCATTCCACAAATATATAAAGCCTTTTTCCTAGTTCCAACAGACCTCACTACCTCTGAGGATGCTTGCCATAGATGCAGGTGAAACGTCAGGAGAGAATGCCTTTAGAACATAGCCATATAGCCCGAAAAAACCTACAACAACCTAAAGTTGTTTTTTTTAATTATTATTATTATTATTATTATTATTATTATTATTATTATTATCATCATCCACTGCCTTCACTTCCACCTTCATTTCTTTCTCCTTGTCTCCAGGAGCCATTTAGCACCTCACCCCTTTGTGGGCTTGTTTGCTTTCCTGGCTCACCCTCACTCTTTATTGGCCACTTTGCCGGTTCTGTGCTGGGAAAAAAAAGCTCAGAATTCTGTGCTTTCTTTCCCAACAAACTCTGTTTTCTCCCTGCTGTTTCCCTCTCCTAATGGCAAAAGGCTGTTAATGTAAAGAGGAAATGCAGCCTTTTTGGCTTTGCTTTGCTTCCTTGTGTTGAAAATGAAACTGACATTGGGAGGCTTCTGATATTTACAAAATGTAAGCAAAAAAGTATTGGGTAAGTTTCGATTCTCGTTTTTGGCACAAGCCACACCAACGTGCTGGATATTGCGTTGCAAGTACAAATTTAACAAAATTGATAAGACTTATGATGACTATCAAAAACAAAATTGCACACCCCTTATGGATAGTCCTGCCTTTGAGCAAGATGGGATAAATAGTTATATAAAGACTTTAAAGTAAGTATGTCTATAAAGGTAGAGTTGCTAAGACACCAATGTGCTGGTGCTCTCCAACAACACAATTTTCTCCAATAGTCCCTTTTCCAATTCTACTCTTTCAGTTGCTCTCATTTAGAAAATTCCATGGTAGATTGTAGCTCCTGATATATAGCCATTACAAAGGATGGGCAAAGAGGTCTCTAGAGATTTTTGGTAAGAGACATTGCTGCTGCACCAAATTCTTAAACAGACCAAACTGACTCCAGCTTGACATCTGGTAATTCTACTTCCAACTTTAGGATTTTATGTATTTGGATGTAAGTTTTATGGAACTGTTTATGAATGGCACGTTTTATGTTTCTGGACCAAAATAAAAAAAAATGCAGAAGTAAGAAAACACTTCCAACCAAAAAAAAAAAAAAAAAAAAAAAAGGTTCGCACAAAGAAAATGGATTATATTTTCACAAAAAAGTTCCAAATGCCAAAAAAAAAAAATTACCCAGTGGGAATAAGACTTCTGCATTTTTTTTCATTCCCACACATGAGAATGAAGTAAATAATGATTCAAATTATTACTGGGAAATATGTGGCAAACACAACAGACAGACCATGAAATACATGAAATGCTCATAGGTTGTGCTACAACCATTACATGTTGCTGTGTACTGAAATACTGACAAAAAAGAATACTGAACAAAATAACCAATGATAGCTTATTCCTTCTCACGTTTTAATATAAGAAGCATTTACAGGTTTAAAATACAGTACAAAGTAGAATTTTACATTTCATAGCACTGCAGTATTTCACAATACTCATATAAAAGTGCCCTATATGCCTTGGCATCTCTCTCGCTTTATATACAAAATAAGATCTATGGTAACATAGTGAAAGTGTAAATTCTATTATAAAAATTATGGCTTGTGTCCCATTAGTGATATATCCTAATTGTTTCATTAGTATATGTCTTTTTGCCATGTCATCACATGAGGTAAATTTAGCGTCCTAGCTCACTGCCAGGATGCTTCCTTCTCAGAGGCCCACACTGCCCATCACATGATGTATGATGACTTCTGGCAGGGCTCCATGGATGAAGCATCCTGGTAGCATGGCAGGATGATTCCCTTGAAACATGGGAGGCTTCCTGTGTTCCATTGACAACCACAGAGCCAGTGTGGGGGAAAACCACATGGCGATGCTTCCCCACATGGGAGGGGGAAGCATGAACTGCAGGCGAGGTGGGGCACCAGGCTTGCTCAGTTACCCAGCTGATTCAGCACAGAGGATGGCAAATCACCCCATAGGGCCTTATCCATATGATGAGGTCCTTGATCATTCTGGATGGAAGAATTCAGCATTTCCCTTATTCAATAACCTCTATTGCCTTAAACTGTTTGTCACTTGTTGTCCCTTCTAACATGGCTGTGTAGTGAGTAGTAGTGAGCATGAGACACCTAAGAACATCTGGCTTTAACCTTAGACATGTGACATTGAAGGCATTATGTGGGACAACCTATGAGCCCTGTAGAGGTTCCAAATGATGACATCATAATTGGGCATCTGGCGACAAGAGCACACTGGCTGTCTCTCATTCTTTCTTGTGGCCACAAAAGGGAAGGGACAAAAACAATTTGGTAGGTTTTAAAGTAGGGGAGAGGAGATAACAACATGTAGTTCTGTCTGGGCCAGGCATGTAGCCGGGGGGGGGGGGGGGGGCTTGAGGGGCTTCAGCCCCTCCCCCCGAAATTCTCATGGTGGTTCGCGAAAAGGCCTTACTGGTGCATTACTGGTGTTTATTCATATCATGATCTGATCACCATACTCAATATATCCCATATGCATGGGGGTATTGGGGTAATGATACAAAAGGTTTGCTAGGCTAGACCCTCTTTCACTCAGACTCAGCCCGCCCCGAAACTCAGCCCCCCCGAAACCCCCCCTGAAAATTTGCCCAGACCAGGCTACGGGCCTGGTCTGGGCAAACTTTTATGTCCCATCTCCCAGTGCAGGGTAATGACTGATACGTTGCTTTATAATTAACAATATTTTATAGATTATGTAACAACAACAACAACAACAAAACTTTATTTGTATCCCACCCTAGCTCCCCAATGTACAACCATGTCAAAGGGTGTTCAACAAAATTTTAGCACTGCAGACTGTTTTATCTAATAAAACAAATATTTATTTTAAAATGTTGCTGTTCATTGCTGAATTTCTATAGGTCTTTTGATTATATTAGCTCATTTGGCTCAAAGATTTGGACCTCACTCCAGTTTTCTATAAAATAAAAGCAATAAAAACAATTTAGATGTTGCATTGTGTTCTTAACACAATATATGGACTCCATAAGCTGCCAATTTGCTTCTCACATCTAGCATACAATTCAGGCACAAAATAAATCCTTTAGAAAAAATCATTTAATCTGAACATTCTAATTGAATAGCCATGCAATGTCTTAAGGCAACATAATACTTCTAGCATCTTTGCTTTGGCATACTTCATCTTTGGCCATTTTGTAGAAAAACTATAATACATCCTGTCTGCACCTAAACATTCCTTGAATGTCTTCCTTCAGAAATGCATTTAATGACAAAGGCAGGCAAGGCCCCCAAACTACATTGTAAATTTCAGCAAAAATGCACAACACAGAACCCTTTCCCCTTAGAGATGAGCATCCTTCACCATTACTAAATGAGATAAATGTCCAACAAACTCAGAGAGTGGTCTATGTTTGTATCCTAATTTCCCATTTCCCAGATGAAAACCTGGACATGTGACTAAGCAACATCAGATTGTGGGTAAGATGGCAAATGTTATTAATAAGGTAGAAGACATGAACTAGGAGAGTCTATTTCTGATGGTTTTGGCCTCAGCTCACTAGGAAGGTCAAGATTTTGCTGCCAGATCAGAACAGTTGAAGGACATATTAATAGACATAAACTGAGAATGTAAAAAGAGAAAATACTAATCTGACAGCCTGATCCTTACACCTCTATTCTGTTATATAGACATGCATAAATGTTTTGAGTTATGTAAAGGCACATCTATGTTGCTAGAGTTCAAGTGGATTTACTTCTTCCTGGTAGTTACATAAGGTAGTCCATCCATATATATGGAATATCTTATAAACCCTGATATATATATGGTGGATAATATGTAACCTGGGAATGAAAGTGGATCTCAAAGGTATTCTGATGCCCCTGAAAACATCTGTAAGATAAAAATGTCTGCTAAGTCAGGCATGTCTCCATTTTTAATCTCAGAACTGAGAGGGGGCACTTACCTTTCAAATGATTGAGGTGGAAGAGAAACTGTATTATTTATTTTAAAAAACAAACAAAACTTTGTTCAAAGCCTGAATGTGACATTTGACAGCTTCTTGCTTTTTTGGCATGTCAGGACATGGGTGTGGTAGGAGGCCCTGAAGCAGAAGTCATGTGTCCCATGCCTTGTTGCAGTAAACAGTGCAATAAAAAAAATTGAACTGGAAAAGAATGGGATTCTGCTCTAACTAATCCTATGTAGTTATGCCTGCCTACAACAGGTAAGATAAACAGACCTCACCTCTGAAGATGCCTGACATAGATGTGGGTGAAATGTCAGGAGAGAATGCTTCTGGAACATGGCCAAACAGCCCGGAAAACTTACAGCAACCCAGTGATTCCAGCCATGAAAGCCTTCGACAACACATTAAACAGCCACTGCTTTCAGAATTCCTTACTGAGCAAAACAGAGGGAAAGGGGGAAGACACATAAGCTTACCTCATTACCAATAGTTAATTTATGCAAGGCTTCCCTGACATGGTTGTTTATTTCCATATGCTAATGCAGTTAGTTTTGAATAAAAGTCTATTGAAACATATTCATCTGCTCTTCTTTTCCCTAACCCTATTTCAGTATTACTTCTACCTCAGGTACTAAACCTTTTGTTAAAGAAGGAATGCTCAGGAACAGAAGTATACCTGTGTACAGAATTTCAGACTAAAATACTTAAGTTTAAGTGGCTCATGCCACCACCCTATGTAACTACTGTTGAAGTCATCACTGATACAGTTCTAAAAGGACAATTTAAAGGACAAGCTAAATACTGTACATACATTTGCTTTAATGCTGAAAGCCTTCCTTTTTTTCATTTAAAAATCCAAACTGAACAAAAAAGGATTAGTATATTTTAAGTTATTTTTACAAAAACAAAGATAAAAGGCTAGAAAAATAATAAAAGAGGCAAGGTATAAAGTTTCTATCACCATCACAAGCTTTGGTAAAAAGGTTACAAAGCCACAGCACCAATAATCTCCAATGGCAGTCCCTATACTTCAGTATGAATGAGAAGTGATGAAGATATAAATTTTGGCCAGAAAAGTTGTGTATGTCCCTTGGCGCCAAAGCTTCATTTCAACATCTAACAAAAAGTCTTTGGGTTCCTTCACTTGTCGCTGAAGGTAGACGATGCCTGTGTAGGAATTCAGCTTTCTGGTGCTGAAGTAGTTCTCTTCATTTCCTTTGTTGATTGTAAGGATTATGTTGTCTCCAGCATAAGCAGGCGAGGGACCAATTCGGAAAATATGAGCTGGGACAACAATGTTAGTTTGGAAGTTAAGCTGATAGTAAGTGATTCGCAACGGAGTACTTTGGCAATCCAGATAGCTGAAGCAGTTGATCCGTTCACATCTCCTGAGAGAAGAAGAGGAGGAAATATTTAGCACAGCAGGAACTGAGATTCAAAAGACACCCGTCTGAATGATTTGCAAAGTCTCAGCGAAAATGCACTCACACACAACCTCTTTCATGTACTAGGCAAAGACACAGCAGAGCTGCAAATGTTGACTTTGCAATTAACAACTGCTTGTTCTTCTTTTACAACACTCTTTACACTGATGCAATTGTCAGCATAGCAGCCAAATATCAAAAGATCACTAACCTTGAAAGAGCTTCTTTTGGAAGCACCACAATGAGCACATAGAGGAATACAGACAAAGTCATGCTGTGTGTTTTTGCCTGGAAAAGGAATCTGTGATTCATCAAAGAGCAGTATATGCTCTAATCAGGTTATATGAAATAGAGCTATAATGATAAAAGGAACTCTTAAAGGCAGCATGTTTTTTTTAAAAAAAAATCTTTCAAACTGTACAACTGTAGAATGGGATGGTACCTTACAAAGTCAATAATAAAGATAGTGGTTCACTATCTTTATTTCAGCCTGGAACAGCTCTGAGAGCAGAGCTGGGAAATGATGCTTGTTAGACTACAAGTTCTATTATAATGTAATCAGTATGAAAGAGTATGGAATCTGTAGTCCAAAAAAAGAATAGCTGCCCTGAGTCCCCTTCTGGGGGTAGAGAAGGGTGGGGTACAAATATTTGAAATAAATTATTCTTTCCTCTAAACATCCAAGACCAGCTTCCAGGGTTTCTGTGCTGTCAAGGATCCAGTCTAGAGTCTCACTATATGATAATCTCAAATACGACCTACCCACCTCTCTTTCTTTTTCTTTCTGTCTTTCTCTTTATGGAAGTAATATTTTGTATGTTCTTGGAAAGTTTCCTTTTCTGCAAAGGGAACAATTAGTTTCCCTATGACTTCTTTGTTATTTTTCTTATATTACAATTGTGATGAAAACCCCACATGTGGACATGGAAAATGATACCAATATAAGGAAAAACCTAGGAGCTCAATCTGCGTTGACACAGAGAACAGTAGCACACTGAGAAGGATCAAAGAAATGTTGAGATATGCTACTGAATGGAAAAAGGGTAATAATTCATTGGTTGTTGTTAACTGCTTTTTAGATTACTTTGACTTATGGCAACTCTATAAATGAGAGACCTGCAAGTCATCCTATCATAAATAGCCCTACTTAAGCCTTGCAATCTCAGAGCCATGGCTTTCTTGATTGAGTCTATCCATCTATTGCAGGGGTAGGGAACCTTTGGCCCTCCAGCTGTGGTGGACTTCAACTCCCACAATTCCTTGAGGCTCGGCATTCGCCCCAAAGGTATACCTTGGCCCAATGCCGAGCCTCAAGGAATTGTGGGAGTTGAAGTCCACCACAGCTGGAGGGCCAAAGGTTCCCTACCCCTGATCTATTGCTTTCCACCATAAAAAGCAATATTGGTTTTTGCTGTGAGTCATGTCTACTCATGATATATCCAAAGTATTGGTTTAGTTATCTTGGCTTCTAAGAGAGGTCAAGCTTGATTTGCTCTAGAGCCCATTTATTCGTCTTTTTTGGCAATCCAGGATATCTGCAGAACTATGTACTCATTCAAACAGAACATCTCTGGTATTGTGTTTGCAGAAAGCTCAGTTTCTGCAGGTTTAATCCCTGGAAATTCTCAGTGTGCATGGAACATGGAGAACCATTGCCAGCTAGTGACAACAGTACTGGACTAGGATAACCAAAATCTGACTCAGTATCAGTCTCCATATTGCTAAAGTAGGAGACATCCAGCACAGTTGTAAGATGCTAATTATGCTGCCTCTTCTCACTGTCACATAGAAAACCACCTATCAGATATCAGGTTTGATCAGAGATTGGGAAGAAATTATTTCAGTTTGCTATTATAAATGAATGTATACATTTTAGAACTCTCAAGACAGTGGATTGGAACACATCTTGCTTCAAAAATTATATAATAATAATAATAATAATAATAATAATAATAATAATCTTTATTTATATCCCGTCACCATCTCCCCAATAGGGATTCGGGACGGCTTACATGAGGCCAAGCCCAAACAACAAATTATAAAATACTAGCTGTCCCCTGTCACGCGTTGCTGTGGCCCAGTCTGTTGATCTGGAAAATAAAGTGATGATAAAGTGTTGGTTTCTAACGTATGTAATTTCTTTATGCTTGTGGGTAAACAGTATTTCTTGCTGTTTCTTTGTCAGTGTTGATGTGAAGAGTGTCTGGTTTGCCCACCTGGAACATGCAACATATCATTGTCCTTCTTTAAGGGTCTATTTCAAATCTATGATACTATATATCTCTCTGTGTGAATCATATCTATCTATCTATCTATCTATCTATCTATCTATCTATCTATCTATCTATCATCTATCATCTATCATCTCTCTATATCTATGGCTGGATGGCTCTTTGTCAGGAAGACTTTGATTATGTTTTCTTGCCCTGATGAAGGGAGTTGGATTGGATGGGAAGTTTGCCCCAATTCTATCATTCGTGGGGTTCAGAATGCTCTTTGATTGTAGGTGAACTGTGAATCCCAGTGACTACAACTCCCAAATGTCAAGGTTTATTTCCCTCAAACTCCATCTGTGTTCATATTTGGGCATATTGAGTTCCATTGTTGATGGAGTTCAGAATGCTCTTTTATTGTAGGTGAACTATAAATCCCATCAACTACAACTCCCAAATGACAAAACCCTCTAGAACCCTCTAGAGCACCTACATCCAGAGAACATTGTGGACTCAAACAGTGATGGATCTGGACCAAACTTGGAACCAATACTCAATATGCCCAAATGTGAACCCTGTGGAGTCTGTGAGAAATAGACCTTGACATTTGGGAGTTGCTAGGATTTATAATTCACCTACAGTCAAAGAGAACTCTGAAACCCACCAATGATTGAATTGGGCCAAACTTCTCACACAGAACCTCCATGACCAACAGAAAATACTGTGTTTTCTGATAGTCTTTAGCGACCCCTCTGACAGCTCTTCATCACCCCCCAGGGGTCCTGACCAGTATTGGTGAGAATAGTTTAAAGATATTTGGAAAGAGCCCAGATAATAAATGTCTAAATCCTGTTCTTCACTGAATCCATGGTAACTTTATATGTCAATGTTTGTGCAAGGCTCAGTTGATTCAATGCTCTAGTGGGGTTACAATTAAGTCCAGAAGCAGTAAGAGTGAAGCAAGAGCCTATGTTCAGGAAGAATAATTACTGAAGATAACACTTTCAATATTCAATTGTAGGTTGACTTACATATCAGACACTTTTCTGTAGTTAGATGGGCACTCAAATAAGAGACATCGGAAGCTGCCTTGAATGTTATAACATGACTCTGATGATGAACAATTGTGGATTCCCATTGCACATTCATCAATATCTGGGTGTGAAATATATAAGAGAGAATACATATCACAATTATAAAGTAGCGTACTTGCAGGCTTATTCCAAAACTATGGACAATATGTCATCTATATCAACAGAAGCTTGTGTATATGTATATGTGTGTGTGTGTGTGTATATATATATATGAGAGAGAGAGAGAGAGAGAGAGAGGTGTAATATCTCTATTAAGCAAAGCAGTAGGCATTGCCCACACCCCTGCCCCCCTGCCCCCCCTCCCTGCTGCCTTGCAGCTCTAAAAGTGATATCAAGGACCCCAGACCCCCCCTTTTAATAAAACATATACATAATGTGGATATGTGGATATGTAGTTCTCTCAAGGGCAGAGGCCATAATGAACTGAGAACAGGCTGTATCCCCCATGGTCCCTCAGGACCCCCAGGACAAGCAGCAGCCATCACAACCCAAGAACCTCATGGACCCATCTAAGGAACCACAGCATGGCTCAGGTCAGTCCACACCAGTGACCCTCTGCAGCTGTGGAGGAAATTTTCCAGCTGATCATCTTCCCCCTCCCCACAGTACGTATAATTGAGTAAGTTAAAGTATAATAAAATACTGCAGATGACCTCCTCAGCTGCCACTCAGTCTTGGCAAGGCCCCCATTCTTGCCCCTCCTATCTCTCCATCCCTCCCTTACTAAACATCACTGTTTCTCTTCTATTTGTTACTATTTTATTATTTTTATTATTATATTATTATATTCTATAAAAGGAAGGCAAATGGTCATGAACTCAAAACTGTGAACTCCAGTAACCTCTCCGCTTCAGCAGTCTTCAAGATACCACATCCATACCCCAGTTGCCAACCAGAGATGGGTCATAATGCTTAGACAAAGGACTGGACTGATTCCCAATAGGAGGCCATCCATTCATGGCCCCGAGATATCTTCCTGGAGATCTTGGACAGTCATGGGACAAAAGTCCAGACCAAAACTGTGATTGTAATCCCATCTGCAAATCTACATCTCTGGACTCTGTCTTTGTCTCTGGACTTGGACATCTACCTGGGACAACAACCTTCATTGTTCATCTGGCAGGGCCATGCATTTACATAATCCTGTCAGATCGGTTTTGGACTTTTCCTTCTTTCACTCTATTTCTGGATTACACACCCAGGGGCTGGCATGGCCTCTGGAGCTCCTTCCCTATCTCAGACCACCTCCGCCATCTGATTGGAGACCTCCAGGCTTCTCTGCCTAGCTGGGAGGAGATCCCCAGCTTTGTCACTAGCACCTCTGCCAATCCGGGTGAAATCTGCCAGCTTGGATCTGCCTCCCAGCCAATCAGAGGACAGGAAAAAAAAAACTGGTCAGCTCCACCAGCTGGTCAATCAGGGAAGAGGGAGGGAAATTTTGAAACAGGGCAGTCAGTGAATGGGAACGTTTGTGTATGTATTTTTACACATGTACCCTTTGAACACCTGTGCCGTACATGTGTCCCTTTTGCACAAATTTAATAAAGCCTCAGTTGTTTGCCTTCATCCTGGTGGAGTCTTCAGTTCCTGATCATGATTTGCTATCCACACTAGCTTGCGCACCAGGCACCTAGGGTTCTTAGCAGAACTGCATATTTCGGCATTCTGGTTTCTTCATCAGATTGCCTAGTTTGTGTGCTTTTAGTGATAGATAGAAAATGCCTGGATTGGGCTCTTGTAGTATGTCTGTATATTGATGAGAATTCTCCATATAATTTGTGTAGGTCCTATTTAGGGTTTTTGAAAGGATTTTCTAAAATGTTACACTATTGTCTCTCAGCCTCTTAAGTGTAGTCTGATATATTCATGATGACCACTGCTACAAGCCTCACGGTTGAGGTATATTTCTATATGCACACAGTTCTCAGCTTCCATGTACCACCCATACTCCAAGCTACTGATTTCCTGAAAAAAATACAGAAAACTTCCTATAGCATCCCAGATAAACCCTTATATACCAACATCTCACAACAGAATGGACTACAAGCCATCAAGAAAACCATATTTGAACAATGATTTTAAAAGCAGTATTATGTAAGATAATGCAGTATTGTGTAATGTAATATAATACTGCTATTTCTCCACTTTTTGAGTCTGCCTTCCATTGGCATCATATTCAGACACATGTTGCTAATAATATATTTTTTTTACCTTTGCATATACTTCTTTATATGATTTGAATGGTCAATGAAGTACTGTTGTTCCTGATTTCCAAAAAAGCCACACTCTCACATGTGAAGTTGCTTATAGTTCCACAACAAAGAGATGATTTCGACAAATATATTTAGAATCAGAAAATACATCTCTTTTGTTAATTTAATGCAAAAATAATGGTTGATGACAAAATATTAAACTGTGGTTCTGAAGATATAAAAACCAGATGCAATGAATTTATTTCAAGCAGAAAAAAGGGGGAAAGGGGGGGGGTCACTTCAGTTTTTGTAGCCACACAGAAAATTCTGAAATGTCTAGACAGCCTTCAGAGGTCTGCAAATAAAATGAATGTTACCAGACTATCCATGTGGCAAAGCATTGCAGTGAAACTTGCTAGTTGTCATACAGGAGACTGGCTCCTAAAGAATTACCATAGTCTTCCTTGATGGTCAAGAAGCATGGAGTGTGGCTTGGTTGAAAAGCTCAAGGAATATTTTTAAAGGGGAAGTCAAAGAGATTTAATGTAAATTAAGCCCTTCTTCAATGATTCTGAAAACTAGGTGAAAAGGTAAATTGTTTCCATATGGTATTCTATGTCACGAATATGATTTACTTCTCAATCTTGGCTCTCTGAAGCTTTACAACACAGCTTTGAAAACAATGATCCATAACATAAAACTTTAGCATGCCAGTTCAAACAGATCAGCTTGGATTCACAAAGTCATAAAAAGGGCATGAATAAAAGAAAAAGGGGGAAAACAGCCTTTATTAAATCTCAGAATAAAAATCTAGGATACATTTTTTTCATTCTTCCTATATCAGGGATAGGAGACAGATCAAAGCTTTCTCTACAAATCCATCCCATATTTAAGATTTCTGCAGTCTTCAAGTGGGTGTAACATTCAAAGAGACTGTATGCCATGTATATGTAAAATGGATAACATCATAAGTCTGATATCGCATCAATAGTATCTATTCTGCTCCAGTGCCACAGCTGCAAAGAGGCTTCAAGAAGTCATATATGAATTATTTAATCTTGCTCTGCTTTGAAAATAAGTAAAAAGTTAACAATAATATCAATCAAGCAATTAAAGACTGGGACAATATTCCAAATATTAAACATTGTAAATCTTCAATTAAAGCCTACTAGAACCTGCAAATAAAAAACATATTCTCAACTGAATGTGTGAAAATTCAAAACCCAGTCTGGCTTCAGTGAGTCAGTAATTATAGTAGAGATTATCTCTGTTCAATGTGTTGTTCTTTGCCTTTAAGTTGAGACTGATTTATGAGGGCTCTATCATAAAGGTTTTCCAGACATGATTTACTGAGGTTTGCCATTGCATCCCTGTGACACTGAAAGAGTGTGAGTTGTCTAAGATCATCCAGTTGTTTTTCATGGCCAAGTGGGGATTGAAGCCGTGGTATCCAGAGATGTAGTCCAGCATTCAAACCATTACACCACACTGGCTCATTGAAATATGCATAGTTTAGAATTTCAGGTAAATTGATGCTTAACCTTCATGGTTAATCTGGATCTTCAATAAATCAGCTATATGTGAATGGTTAATCTGGGTCTTCATTGGACCACATATGACCACCAATTATACAACAGAAGGCAAATTTCTATACAATTATCTCTGCCTCTCTTTCCCTGATCATAGCGCTATAAAGAGAAATCGTGCCTTTACCTGGAGAACAAGCAAAACAGGTGACTGCATTCTTGAACCAACGAGAAATCTTTCCTTTCATTTCATTCCTCCTTTCTTCCTCCTTTCCATATTGCTTTCTAGAGCTTCCACTATGTTAGATGCAACAAAAGAACCTTAAGGAAATAGAAACACTTTAATCCCCTTCTTACCTCGACAGGTCCTTCCATTTGCTGACATTGTATATCCTTGGTCAGGGCAAGCACACTGATAACTTCCAGGCACATTTAGGCAACGGAAAGTGCACAGAATACCTGCACTTTGTGCACATTCATCAATATCTGCAACAAAGACAATGATAAAGTATAGCTCAAGTTATTCTCCCAACAGGATAGTCCAAGAATATTGGCTTTGGAAATTTCCAGGGCATACCTTTACAAGCATGACCATCTTCTGCTAACTGATAGCCTTGCCTGCAGTAACACTGATAGGAACCATAAATGTTAGCACATTCCTGACTGCATGGATTGTTGTCACATTCATTGATATCTGCGTAAAAGAGTAGATATAGAAATCATGTTTAATCGGTTCAATCACTGCTATCGCACAGATTAGATTAATATACCATCTGTACTATTTCCTGGACACATCAGACCTGGCAATATGCCTTGACTGCATGCCTTTGGATTACTGCAGAACACTGTATGGCGGTGGGAGACTGCCTTTGGAAGCAAGTCCAAAATTTTTCAACAAGACTGGTTCTATTTTCAGACTAAATTCAAAGAGCTGGTCACAACCTATAAAGCTCTGTGTCTTCTGAAATATTGCGTTAAACTACACGAGCCTTCCTGAGCTTTATGATCTTCAGGTTATGCCTCTCTCTTGGTCCCACCTCTCACTGTCACAGGTATACCTGGTGGAACATGTAACTGTTCCCAGGCTACAGAATTTCCTCCCACAGAAGGCTAAGTTGCCCCATATCTGATCTATTTTTGCAAGTCTGCCTTTGATGTGTAAGTAGTTATGACAAAGGGGTCTGTTTGAATTCTGTGTCCTGACTTTTATCTCTGTGTGTGCTTTCAAGCTGCTTATTGATTTATGGCGACCCCATTGATTTTATAGGGTTTAGGTGGTTTTGCCCATTCCTTCCTCTGAAATACAACTTAGCACATGGTTTAAACTAGGGCTGTGCAAAATTATCATTAGTCCCCATAAATTGGATAAAATTATTTAAATTCATACTTACAACTAATTTTTCATTTGAATTTTGTAAACCTTGAAGGTCAGCTTCATTTTCAACACAAGCAAGCAAAGCCAAGCCAAAAAGACTGCAATTCCTCTTTAAATTAATGGCCTCTCACCATTAGGAGAGGGAAGTAGAAGGGAGAAAGCAGAGTTCACTGGGAAAGAGTCTGAGAATGCACAGAATTCTGGAAAATGTAGTTTGGGACAACAAGGGGCCCTATACCAGAGAATTCAAAACGCCTTGCCCTATTTTATTTATTTATTTATTTACCTTACTTATATACTGCTGTTCTCAGCCCAAAGGCGACTCACAGCAGTTCACAACAAATAAGAACAGCAAAAAATCAATGCTACAGTATAAAAAACAGTTAATAACCTAACACATTACATAATTAATAACAATTACTACAATTGCCCTAAACTACATTTCCCAGAATTCTGCTCTGTATTGGAAAGCCTAACCAGGATAGGGGAGAGATTTGTCCCTCTGTAGCAGCAGCAGCAGCCAGAGTTCCAATAAATTGTTGAATCTGCAAAGAGGAGGACTGACTGATACTTCTAGTAAGTAATTCTCTGTGCTGGGCTGGGAAGAAATCCCTAAATGAAAGTTTTAAATTTAAATGTTTTAATATAATTCTTTATTTTTTTCTATATCCTTTGGGTCTTGTTGTAGTTGTATTTTGTTTTGTAAATTGCTTTGGATCTGACATTTGGAAGAAAGGCAAGATGTAAATGAAATAAATTATTAGAAAAAAATTAAATGTTTTTGTTATTGATAATATTACTGAAAGATGGATGGGCAGTAGTTGCAGATAATTGCTACTGTAGCACAAGGATATAATTCTCAAATTTTATTCTCAACGGTAGCAACAAGTAATTTTAGCAATCTTCTTGCTGCAAATACTATTCACAGTTTGAGATTTATTCTGTTCAAAATTCATAGATGTCCAAAAAACAACGATGAAATGAAATGTAATAGAACCTAGAAAAATGCAAAAATTTTGGAGAAGGGTCATGGTTTGAATCTTTCTGGACCTTTTTCATCCTTTCCCACTTTCATAATCGAATAAATATGCTTTCTGCAAGAAGTCTTAGTGCATCTAAAGAAGTTGTTTTATAGTCAAACACACCCATGCAAAGATGAAAAGCAGTCCTAAAGGTGCTGCCAAAGATAGTTTTTTCCTCCTCTTTCCTTCCTCCATTTAAAGATAAACATCATTTTTTGTTGATTAAGCACATGTAAAGCCACTAATTTCTTACATTGCTTACAAAGCCCTCATTGTTCATATTTTAGCACTACAAGTAGTTTGTATACATGCATTACTTTGAAAGACTTAGTAGGTAAATACCTTCACAGTGTTTTCCGTCATAACCCAAACGAAAGCCTGAAGAACAGGAACAGTGGTAGGAACCAGGAGTATTTTCACATGAGTGTTGACAGAGTCGGCCTGGATAATTCCAACATTCATTTATATCTGCCACAAAAGAAGTGTCAGCATTAACATAAAACACATTTGAGAGATAAAAAGAAATAGCAAATACATTTGGACATTTATTTGTATAAAGGCATTTATCTTAGACGTTATATTTCCCTACTCTAATTAGTATGAATAAATCATGAATCTATAATTAGAAGTGTACAGTCCTTTCCTTTTTGTGTATCTGCCCTCCATGTCCTCAGATATTCATGGATTTTTCTCTCTCTCCAATGACTAAATACTAGTTTTCATTGAATATGAAAATTCATCTGAAAAAAGTTTTACATATAAATGATTCATTACACATTTTTGCATGAAAAAGGCCACATATCTATCAGAAACTAAAATTTATAGCATCAGTAATCAATAGTATCATTTTTCTTGGAAAATATGAAGATATTGTATGTCTGTGTGCTCTTCATATGCATGGGGGATGTGTAGTCTATATAGGAAGGATATTTTAATTTACAGATAAGAACTAGAGGACTAGGTTGCCCCCATAACATATTTTTAATAGCGTGACTGATAAATAGCCAAACTGGTGTTTGTGTATGAAACAATTCTGTTACCTCTTTCTTTGAGCCCTAGTGCTGGAAAAATAATAATTGGGCTGGAAAGAACAACACGTAAATACTAACTGGACTCCATGTCTCATCAATCAGCAATATCATCCCTTCTTGTGCTATACATACCAATGCAAGTTCTGCTGAATGAATCATATTGATATCCCATCTTGCAGTCACAGCGGTAAGTCCCAGGTAGATTGTGACAAATCTGTCCCTCTCCGCAGCGGTGGACACCGGTCTGACATTCATCAACATCTGCGGAAGCAAATTGTAGCAATTACTCTCACTGCAGTGGGCCAAGCTGCTGGTCACTCTCTGAATATCACAGTTTGTAGCCTGCTGTATTGAAAGAAGAAGCTTTGCATCATGAGAATCAAAACAGAACAGAAGCACAGTTAACTTTATCCTGCCGCTGCAGGAAAATGTGATTAACAATCCCCAGTCCCCTCTTGCCAAATCTGGTTTCATGCAGTTCTGTCTTTCTCCATGGATACGCACAGTGGTTTCAAAATTAAATGACAATGCAGTTTGCAAGGCCTGTTTAATTTATAACAAAAGATTTTACCACACCTAACCAAACTGCATTTAATATCATTAGAATAGGTAGGCACCTTCACACTGACATATAATCCAGTGTAGATTGTGATGCTCTGATGCATCATTTTCCAAGATTGAATGGAAATGTCTTTCCATACAAAAATATTCTAAGTGGCGTGCCTGACACAAACCCTTTCTTGCACTTAGATATACTAAGACATACAAAAAGTTTGCATTGTTAGGTCTACCGTCCTGCTAACAGCAGCAAGTAATGTAATTAGAGAGCAATTGGCAATTAGGGGATATGATTGACAACAGGCTGATGGCTTGAATTAGAGTTGGTTTTCTCAAATTCCGCGATCTATAGCCAAGATTGTGGATGCAATCTTTTAAATGATCACTTCTCACAGGAGAGAACATGTATGTTTGTCAATTTTCTCCTCACTGTTCAATCCTTTTTTAAAGCTTTTCAGATTTTTCCCCACTTCTCCTGTTCCTCCAGGATCATGCAGTGAGGATCATAAAGGCTTTAGCTTTTGTTGATTCTTGCTTGGTCTCCCCTAGCTGCCCATTGGTATGTGATGTGGAAGCCAAGAGATTATCATGGAGGCTATAACTTAGTGTTTCTTTCTACAGTGTAATCAGAGCTGGGAGTTAGCCAAGAGAGGTGGATTACACTCCTGCCTATATTCTGATAGCAGGTTCATGTTGACGCACATGTGCTTGCTATCAGATGAAACCACACAATGATCCTTCTTGCTCTGCCACTCCCCTGCCCTTCTGGCTTCTTACGTATCACTGCCCATGTTGGGGAGTAGGAAATAAATGGTTCTCACCTAGGGGAGCAAACTAGCCCTTCAGCCTATCTAAGGTTTGGAGGAAAAATGAGAAAGGAGTTTGAGGATGATTTTTCTCACTGAGGCTGATAATCAGAAACGCCTCCCCCCACCCTTTTTCTATTATTTTTTAAAATACGATCCCATCCCTATCCAAGAGATAGCTAGTTCCATAACCATTACATTACATTTTATTTGGAAGATATTTGTATATTAATTTTGTAATATTCTTTGGCAATAAAATAGTTCTTTAAAATATATTATCAAGTCTAAAACAGTTAGGAGGTTATACATTCCAGTCATTAATGTCTTCTTTCTCTATGATTATTTTTAGTTTCAGTTTTATCCTGTCTATGAGAGAGACATCTTCTCTGAACACTCTTTGCTAATTAGATAACTTGAATTACTTCCCTTTTAGTAACTTGACTCATTGATTACAAAGCTCATGGATTTTCTAAGAGGAAAACATGTTAATCTGCTGCATGAAAACAACAGAATTTAGGGGCATCATAAAAATACGTAGTGCATTAGTTCAATAGTTATACTGTGAACCTTGCATGAGACTGGAAGTCACTGCTAATGCAGCATATGATGAAAATGCTACCATTGCATAATTTTACAATTTTACCATTTTTAAATTGTAAATTTTAAAATATTTTAAAAGGACCTTGAAAATAAACCTTTTCTTTGTTGATATCTTGCTTGAACCTATTTACTACAAGGGAAATATTCGGTTCTGGCCCTGCACCTATGCTGACATGAGGATGTATACAACTATTTATTTATGTAATTATCTTATTTCACTTAAGATAACCTCATATTTGGTTGTAAAGAAGAGTAAAATCTGGATATGAGCTTTGTGCAGGGAAGAAGTAATCTGAAATCCTCTGACAATGTCGAAATTGATGGGCAAAATTGGATTTGGTTATACATATTTCCAGTCCATTTTATTTATTTTCCAATGCAGTCTCTTTTTTAAAAAAATCCTAACAATGTATGGACCAATAAAACGGTAGATCAAGAGTTTCATTAAAGTGCTCTCTCTTGGCTTCTTTTTCTTGCATCAGAGCAAGCATTACAAAGTTAATTTGAATACAGATTTAAATCTGCAAATTAGCAACTTTAGTTGCCATTAATTCATTTGTTCAGCCTTTTGATTAGTTTCTGTGAAATTGTGTGTTCCACTGTGTCTTGCCTTTAATTAGGTCCAGAACATTATTCAGTCAGAAGTGCACCATATTTCATGATAGCTACAGTATTTTTCAATTAAATGCACAAGGAAATTGCTGCTAACCAATCTAGTGAATTAAGGAGAAAGAACATTCTTGGGAAGATGCTTTTACTAAACAAAAAGATGTGACCACACAGTTTTGCTGCAGACATGTCCAGATGATATATGTCTATTACCATAAATTAATCCAGTTTAAAACCTAATTGTCCATACCTCTTAAAAAAGGAAAGGAAGAAATAGTGGGTTAGGGAACAATTAGAATGTATATATGTTCTGGTTCACTGTTTATGTCCCTTTCTTATTTAAATAAATCCTACTAAAATATTTAGATTTTAAGAAAAGTGGTTTACGTATGTCCAGAAGGCAACATGGATTTTAAGTACTCTACCTTACTAACAATTGTAGATGACATCTTATTAACTTTTCATTTTAGAAATCAAAGCTTTCTGTTAGAGTTATTGCCTTTTACAATATGGTGACTTTGTTTGTTTAACCATCCACTCTTTTTCTGCATTAATCTAATCTGTAACAATTTTCTTTTCTTTCTCATCTCCATAATACTATGCAACAATATGCAAAAAGTAATTTGTAAGTAGGGCAGTAGTAATTGGTGAATTGGTGACTTCAACAGCCATAGTCATGTATGGGGCTATGCTCAGGAGGATAAAAATGGAGAGGCCGTCCTCTCCTGGGCTGAACTGCACAAACTATCACTTATTCATGATAGTAAGCTCCCACCATCCTATAACAGTGGGACATGGCACTGAGGATACAACCCAGACCTCCTATTTGTGAGTGACAGCATTGTGCAGATGCACAAAATCAGTGGGACCAAACACACAGAACCGACCAATAGTATGCCAACTGTTCCCAACTATAAGGCCTCAGGAAGTTCGATTTAAATGAAGATTCAACTTCAGAAAGGCAAATTGGACTAAATTCTCAGACATGTCAGACGACATGATCATATCAGTCACACCAATCCCTGAGGAATACGAGCACTTTATCGAAATAGTGAAAACCTGCTCATGGGCCTCTATACCGAGAGGCTGCAGAACCCACTACCTTCAGGGCATTACTACTGAAACAGCTACCTTGTTGGAAAACTATTACAGGCTCCACAACAAAGTCCCATTTAGTGAACGAACTCTTCAGGCAGCGCAGAGCATTTTGTCCCCCATCTCTGGAGCCAAAAAAGAACAGCGGATAAAGCTGACATGGGCAGGAGCAGCCAGAAGGCGTGGAGGCTGCTAAGACGATTGAGCAATGACCGCTCACAAACTAATACCCATGCCAACATAAAGTCAGTTCAGATAGCACACCAGCTCTTGAAGAATGGGAAACCCAACCTTGCCACCAAAGTAGGAAAGAAACCAATAATCAGACAACCAGATATTGAGAACAAGAACATTCATGAACCTTTTACATCTACCGAATTGGAAATGGCCTTCAATAAATGCAAAAATGGCAAAGCTGCTGGCCTGGATGATCTACGTATGGAACAAATTAAGAACTTTGGCCCAAAAGCAAGGTCCTGGCTGCTGAAGGTGATGAACAACTGCATTGCATCCTGTCAGATCCCCAAAATCTGGAGGAAAGCAAGAGTCATCGCCATTTTGAAGCCATGCAAAGACTGTAATGACCCAAAAAGCTACAGACCAATCTCCCTGTTGTGCCATCTTTACAAAGTTCTGGAAAGACTTATTCTGCATATAACAGTGGAAAAAATAGACCAATTTATGATCCCACAGCAAACTGGCTTCAGGAAAGGCAAAGATTGAACATCAAAAGTGTTGAACCTGACTCAGCACATAGAAGACGGTTTTCAAAGGCAGCAGATAACTGGAGTTGTCTTCATAGATCTGCAAGAGGCCTATGGCACTGTAAATCATTGCCTTCTCCTGAGGAAAATTTATAATATCACAAAGGACTACCACTTCACCTGCCTCATATGAAATGTGCTACAAAACAGGAGCTTTTTTGTTCAATTCCAGGGCCAGAGAAGTAGATGGTGAAAACAGAACAGTCTGCCTCAGGGAAGCGTGCTTGCTCCACCCATGTTCAACATCTACACAAATGACCAGCCACTGCCAGAAGGGACAGAGAGTTTCATCTATGCTGATGATTGTGCCATCATTGCTCAAGCAGGAAGCTTTGAGATAGTTGAACAGAAGCTCTCCAAATCATCTGGTTTTCCTATTACAGGGAAAACCAGATGATTCCTAATCCATCTAAGACACAGACATGTGCTTTTCATCTTAAGAACAGACAAGCATCCTGACCACTGAGGATTACCTGGGAAGGAATTCCACTGGAGCATCACAGCACACCCAAACACCTGGGAGTTACCCTGGACCGTTCTCTGATCCACAAGAAGCACTGCCTGAATATCAAGCAAAAGTAGATGCTGGGCACAATATCATATGAAAGCTGACTGGCACAACCTGGAGATCACAACCATATACAGTGAAGATATCTCCCCTTGTGGATTGCTACTCTGCTGCTGGGTACACATGCCTAATGTGGAACACATCTCACCATGCTAAAACAGTGGATGTGGTTCTTAATGAGATATGCCGCATTATCACAGGCTATCTGCACCCTACACCACTGGAGAAATTACACTGTCTAGCCGGTATTGCACCACCTGACATACACCAGGAAGTAGCAGCCAATAATGAAAGGACCAAGGCAGTGACATCTCTAGCCATCCCTTATTTGGATATCAGTCAGCACACCAATACCTTAAATCAAGATATAGTTTTTAAAGATCTATAGAGAAACTCACAGAGAATCCAAAAGTGGCAGGCTAAAACCAAGCACCTCAATCCATGGCTGATACGAAATGAGAGACTCCTTCTTGGGCACACAGAAGACTGGGCAACTTGGAAGGCGCCGAACAGACTGTGCTCTGGCACCATGAGATGTAGAGCCAACCTTAAGAAATGGGGCTACAAAGTGGAGTCCACGACATTACAATGCAGTCTGAGCCCTGCCACATGCACAATGGAGAACCTTCTAATAGCGACACCAGAGGCTCTCTAATAACATTTAGTATAATGCCAAGTTTTTAAAATTTGTGTTTTCTCAAATACATTGGTTCACTCCTGATACGATAAATATAAAATAAAATTTATAAGTAAATCCACTTTCATCCATTTTACAAGAACTTATAAGAACTCATTTATAAGAACTCATGCACACACACACACACACACACACTCATAGAGTCTTTCCATGTTAGACTCTATGAGTGTGTGTGTGTGTGCATGAAAGAGGGAGATGGCACATTATTCAGAATCTGACTTGTAAATTGATCACTCTGCTCCAGAGATCTGATACTATCTCTGACATTTCCCAACTATTTCAACCACACCTTTGGCCTTCTTCAGAGATATTATAGTAGCCAGGCATGTAGCCGGGGGGGGGGGGGGGGGGGGGGGCCTTGAGGGGCTTCAGCCCCCCCCCCCCCCCCCCCCGAAATTCTCATGGTGGTCTGCAAAAAGGCCTTACTGGTACATTATTTAAACTGTTATGTTTATTCATATCATGATCTGATCACCATGCTCAATATATCCCATATGCATGGAGGTATTGGGGTAATGATACAAAAGGTTTGCTAGGGTAGACCCTCTTTCACTTAGACTCAGCCCCCCACCCCCTTTGTTTCATTAATAACACACCAATTAACACACCCTTTCACTATTGATCTTACTGTATTTGGATCAAATCAACACACCACTTTCTGGTTCCAGCTCAGAAGAAAAGATCGGAATCACTAAAATCCAATAGTCTTCCAAAGTCAAAGTTAATAGGAGATGCAACTTGGAACTAAAATAACATTAACATCCTGCTCCTTGGCAGGGGGTTGGACTGGATGCCCCACAAGGTCTCTTCCAACTTTATGATTCTATGATTCTATGGATAATGTACTCCAGCTTTAGTAACTGGGGTTACGGACAACCTCACCATCACTATAACAATATCATTGTATATAATTTGCTATACAACACACAGATCTGCCTTTTATATATTTGCTTTAATACATTCAGAACTATAATAAATAAGACTCAAATATTTTATATATCTGGAAAAACTCAATACTCTAAATAATTATTAATGTCAATTGAAACAAGTAGCCAGAAAGATGAATAACTTTCCCTTTCACTAAGGGCTGACTTCCCAAAACGAAAGCCTTGTGCAAATATGTATGAGACCCCTATGATGCCTGAGGAATATTAATTCCTTTTTAGGGTTGGACATTATATGTGTTAAAAAGAGGAAGCATGGATAAGTCTTCCCTCACTAGCCTTGCTGCATGTATATGTACAAAACTGACGTCTTTTGATCTTTTGGCAGCTGCTAAAGTGATCCAACACAGGGATATATATATATATATATATATATATATATATATATATATATATATAGAGAGAGAGAGAGAGAGAGAGAGAGAGAGAGAGAGAGAGAATATTTCTGTGCAGCGATGGGAATTTGGGATACAAAAGAATTTCAAAAGAACCTTGATTATAAGCATTAGAGTTTGCAGTTGCATTGAATCTGAATAGGCAGCCAAGTGTCTGAATCTGAATCTTACCAACACATCTGGTCCCATCTTCACTTGAATGATACCCTCTGCTGCACACTAAAAGGTTCTTTTGGCACGTATAGGATCCAACAGTATTGATACAGTTGAACCCAGCTTTGCATGGCTCAGGAATTGATGTACATTCATTAATGTCTGTGGAAGAAATCATATATTAGTGTATCAGAATCAAATTAATCAGAAACCCATCTTCCAGCTGTTGCTTCTTTCGCATTCGTTTGGCTTTGATTTATGGTGCAATAAATTTCTGGCTGATGGGAATCTATTAGGCAAACATTTAGAAATTTAACATTATGTAAATCCAATCTATAATTTTATTTTAATTGTATTTTTTTATAAAAGGAAATTAGTTTTAGAGAAAGAAATTATTGGAACATTAAAGGCTATTAAACATGATCGACTATGGATAATACAAAAGTATCAGCAGCTCATTCATCTAGAAATACATTGTTCAAGTTAAACTCACCGACACAATTACCCTCTGGATCTTGTAGAAACCCGTCCATGCACCGTTGTTTTGATTCACAATAGAATGATCCCTTTGTGTTTTGACATACAAAGTTTATCTTGCAACTGTGAATTTTCCTTTCACATTCATCAATGTCTTTAAAATAAGATTAAAAATCAATTAATTTAGATACTTTTTGTAATTCTCTTGTAGTTTTTATGCACATATATAAGCCCAACAACAACAAAAAGGTGGGTACATTTTTAAAGGGTGACTCTATAATAAGATGTCAAAATAATGTACACCATCATCATGTGCTAGTGAGACATTTTACAATAATTTGTGAGATTCGTTTCAATAGCAATATTTGATTGGCTAACCCAGCTCCACTGTTACGTTTTCCATCTCTCTGTGTTCCAGGTAAAAATCTGGAAGAAAATGTATGCAGCTTTTGCTCTTTCCTAAATTCTTTAAAATTTGCTATCAAGGAAGCTTTGGTATGAGAATATTTGAAGTAACACAGGTCAGAACTTTACGCTGTCATGCAACCTGCTAAAGGATGAGCCTTGGTAAACTTTCAAGGAGATGTTATTGCATCAGTGGAAACATGGATGAGAAAAATGATGAGGATATAGCTGGAAGTAGCACTTCTGCTAGCAACCTGAGTGGTGATGGCAGTGAGTGATACCAAGTAACACTGACCATATACGGCATCTACATGCTCTTGCCATTGCCACAGGAGGAGGTGATCACCCCCCATGTGGCTCCTGTCAGAAACTGACTCTATGCAATGCCATCTATTTCTTAGCAGGAAAATGTCTGTCCTTTGATCATCACCCCTATTCATGTCTGATTACTCTAATACAATGAAAAAATAGTCAAATAGCAAATGATCCTGTGTAACTATGCTAGCGGGGCTGGCTTTCCACTTTATTGGGATTGCAAGACAGCTTGGCCATAACCAACTAGAAAGCCCAACATTCCTTTTAAAAAAAGGCAAAATCAATGGAAGCTGAAAAAAAATGGTATTAAATGCAAGACCATCACATGTTTTGACCTTTTTATAATTTCCCAAATTGTGAAACCTTTCTGCCAAGAAAAGATTAAACATCCACAGACAGATTACAAATACTCATTTCTAAAATATCACACCCTCAAAAACATGGTAATGAAAGCATTGCTTAATACAGGGATGCTTGAATTTTAGCCCTGGCATCTGCTTTGTAATTTTAATATGTTAGTCTTCAAGTTAACAGCATATTAAATATATCAAATATCCCCCCCTCCCCCAAGAGCTTTGGAATGTAGTAAATTATTTAGAAGTTGACTCCTACAATCCAGGGACAGTAATAATATTAGGAAGAGGCAAAAACCCATCTTAGTCAGAAGATTTTGGATTTCATGGAAATTATTTTTTGTTACTAATGTGTATTTTTTTCAAGGTTTGCTATGTCCTGTGTTCAAAAAATTTGGCTTGTACTGGATACTATGAACCTTAACTAGAATCAGTTTGATGGGATATTCCTTTGGAAGAATAATGTCTTGATCCATTCTGATCCCATCTCACTCCACATAATAGATTTCTATTTCTAAAATTAAAATTTTACTTAGATTTAAAAAATATTTAATCACATCACTTATCTGATCAAGACACCGTATGTATAGCTGCCAACAAGTTTCCTACTAAGGCACTGATTAATGTACCACGCATCTTCAAATTACACCACAGGCCCCTGAAAAATCACACCACGATCCCTCCCATCCAAACTATGTTAAAGTGTTGGACAATTTTAAGCTGAATTTTTGTTCTTTTGTGTTTAGTATGCAAGAAATTCAACCATTTTTACAATACGTTTTGGTAATAGTTGTGTTGTGTGTCCTATGAGACAAGAGGTGTTGCTGATGGTAACAGTGTTACTGGTCAGGTCTACCATGCTAGATTAAATGTGCCAAAAAGCTCAAGTAGGTCCTATTGCTAGAAGCCCTGCCTTATTAAGGTATTTGATCAAGAAACTCCACTCAGAAAAAAGGACCACCAAGTTCTTTTCATCCCTTTGTTTTGAAGGAAAAAGATCTTTGATACTGATGGTATGGATGGATATTTGGAGAATTGCATTTATATATGTACCCAAACCATTTAGTCCTTCATCAACTCAGGCAAATGTGTCTATAATATTTGCATGTATATATGTTAAGCCCTGATTTTAACCTAACTTCAAGGATTAGACTATTTGACTATAATTTTGAGCTGCCTAACACTATTATATGGTGATCAGGGAACACTGCTGCTAATGTGTCCCCTGACATTTCATAGAAGAAAACTGGGACATATGGGGCCAAGTATCATCGGAATTTGGTTCAGTCAGCAAAGGTAATGAATGAGGAAGACCAAGAGAGAACATTGTATATAAATAATACAAATTATTTTGGTTGTTTCTCTGCATGTATGGCTCCAGACAACAGGCCACTAACTTTGTTAATTAAAGAAAATTACCGTTATGTGCCTTAGTTCAAGATCTTGATACATTTTAGATCTTGACACATAGATTTACTCATAAGACATGAGTTGAGGACATGAACCACACATTTAAATAACTAATCAAAGCTTGTTCAAAAATAAGTAAAGTTCTGGCCTTACCAACACATTCCCCCTCCTTAATTTCATAACCTGATGGGCAGCTCAGTTGCTGAAGACATGTAAAGGATCCAACTGTGTTAACACAATGTTCGCCTCTGTTACAAGTATGAGCATCTGTTACACATTCATTAATATCTGAAAGAGGAAACAGATGTAAGCACATCACACACTAAAGCCCACACCTCTTTTAGGTTCACTACAGGTCAAAGCCAAAACATCAACCCATAAAAGGTTTACATGGTGCTATATTCAACATTTGCTGGTAGACTAGCTTAATACACTTCTGGTAGAAAGGCATGTGACATATTTCTTCTTGTGATTTTGCACTAAATGATACATTTATCAAGGTCACAGTGGAAATAACTGATTAGACACAGAAGTTAGGAAAGCTTTGATAGCAAGCTTTGTGAATCATGCACAGAATGAAACTAGTTATGACAGTGAATCAAATTCAGATTTCATGTTCATTAAAACATTTTTGGAAAGATTTGGTCACTTGAGCACCACAGGCCATAAAGAACACCCATAACTGCAGTGACAAAGAAACCTAGAGTAAAAGTCACAGAGAAGGACACAAGGAAGAAAAAACTCTTTGTTAAAAGCATTGCCAACTATTGGCATTTAATATTAGCAGGAGCTTAAAATTGAGTCTAGAAAAACACTAATGATTGAGAGCAAGATTCTGAACATATCGACCCTGTGCCAGGTTCTTTCTTTTTTCTTTTAACCCTGTGTCAGGTTCTTTCTTTTTTCTTTTAACCCTGTGCCAGGTTCTTTCTTTTTTCTTTTAACCCTGTGCCAGGTTCTTTCTTTTTTCTTTTAACCCTGTGCCAGGTTCTTTCTTTTTTCTTTTAACCCTGTGCCAGGTTCTTTCTTTTTTCTTTTAACCCTGTGCCAGGTTCTTTCTTTTTTCTTTTAACCCTGTGCCAGGTTCTTTCTTTTTTCTTTTAACCCTGTGTCAGGTTCTTGATCTTTCCATCCAACAACACAGAAACTGTTATCATTTGATCCTGAGATAATTCTGCATCCAGGGATGGGACTTTGATCTCCCAAAGTAACCCCAAAAAGCAATATTTCTTAATTCGGGACTAACCCACCATCTGAAGGAGATGATAAAAAAGAGCATGTGCACTGAGATATCCTAGAAATCTATAGTCACTAACTTCTGTTTGGGACCTGGCACTAAGGACTTCATCACATTGATGAGCTCCGGTGTTCCTATTTGCCAGCCTCCCTGGCAAATCAGCAGGGCAGTGGAACAATCACACTTAGGGAAGCATCAGCACACAACTTCCCCTCACGCTAGCCCTATTGTTCCTAATGGAACACGGTGAAGCTCCCGTGTTGCCAGCACAACATCATAGGACACTTGCACCTGGTTGAGCCACTAAACCCTTCTGGAAATGAACCTATGCCATTTCATGGGCAGTGTGGTGCTCCATGGCTCAGCTTCAGCAGAAGCATCTTATGATGTTGAAATTTACCCATGTGATGAGATCGTAGATCTCCACCAATTGTATATTCAAGATAACAGAAATGTTAAAAGAGATTTTATGAAATATAATCACGAATGAAAACTGCTGACCTGCCTAATCTTACAGATCTGGTATCACCAGTCACTTAAAAAAGTTATTGCAAAAATAATATTGGATGCAATTTGTCACAATGCTTTTCAGATTCCTTTCTCAGTCCTATATTTCAAATACTGAAAAGACAAAGGATCAAAAAAGGAATACAGTGGGCAATGGAACAAATTACTTTTAAACGACTGTAGGAGATAATGACAATGATTTACTTTTTAAACTATTAGGAGGAATGGGAAAGAAATGTTAAGATAACTTTCCAAGCTCTATATGTAATCATTGTAACTATAACAAAACTTAGAAGTTACTTTAAAATTAATTCTTTCCCTTTACTCATGACAGTTTAAAAAGTAAATCAAAGCTGTATTCCCTCACACAGTAGGCGCACTGCAGCACTTCTTTCACTGGATAATATGAAGCAACATGAAAATTTGGATAAACCATTTAAAGAAAAGTTGAAATGAAATTATGTCCTATTTACACTGATCGGATTTAATTGGTACACTATTCTCAGCATAGAGAGGACCATATTACAGCTAAAATGGAATTATTACAGATGACCATCCACTAAGAAAAATAAACCAAATTTTACATAGTGTGGCTGAAACTTCAAGGTTTCAAACCCAGAATTTTAATAGTAAAGACTTCAAAATCTTGGGCCAAGGAGGAAATTGTCTTCATTTATCCCACCACTCACACATACAGGTTCTTTATATCTTAGTTATAAAAATAAAGATTGCATGAAGGAAAATTCTTTAAAAATAAAGAGATGATGTGACAATTTCAAGGACAATCTGTGCAGAAAATGTGGATAGATTGATAAACTTTGGATAGCATAGGGAAGGACTAACATCCCTGTAGTTTTGTTTTGTTGGATGTGCCCCTGTCCAGAAAATCTCACCTCACTTTCAGTCCCTGTGATAATTGGGTGTTTTTAAATTGCTTGTTGGGGAAACAAGGATTGGTGAGAAAGCTTTAGTGGAGACATCTTTTCCCCATGATAATAACTTTTTCAGGAGTGAACTTCACTTCCTAGGGACAGACTTCTCTTACTTCCTGTTGTCTTACTTCCTGTTGTCTTAACTTTGAGTCATTTGTAAGTCAGATGTTTGTAACTTGGGGACTGCCTGTACTAAGAAGTCCAGCATGGTATAGTGGCTTTCGTGTTGGACTACAACTCTGATGGCTAGGTTCAACTCAACGAATGAAACCCACTAGATGATTTTAGGCAAGTCACAGCCTCTTGGTCTCAAAGGAAGGCAAAAGCTAACCCTCTCTGACCCAATCTTGCCAAGAAAACCCAGGTTACCTTAGGATAACAATAAATTGATAATGAATTGAAAGCACAGAATATAAAATATAGACCAGAAAATAATTAAATGGAGCATGCCATCGAATTCATCTCCCGTCTGATGCAGTCATTTGACTGGATAACATCATCAAATTATTATTATTATTATTATTATTATTATTATTATTATTATTGACACAAAAACATTGTATGACACAGCAAACAAGATACCCCCCCCCCCCACACACACACACACAATCGTGATCTCTGGTGTAATGTGCTCTAAAACTTTGTCAGTCTGGATTTGAAAGTCCCACAGTATTTTGCATGTTCATTTCCCACTACCTTTGCAGGTTTATTATTCCACCAGTTCTTTACTACTGGAAGGTGGTAATTGTGAAATAAGTTCCAATGAATTATTTGGGCCACATAGTTGTGCTTCTGTTTATAGTCCATCTGTGTGATTTTATCTTTCTTCTTCATTATTATTATTATTATTAGTAGTAGTAGTAGTAGTAGTAGTAGTAGTGGTGGTGGTGGTGGTGATAGTATTATACCCAACTTTTTCTCTTCCAAAGGAGACTCAAGGAGGCTAACATTAAAAACCATAACAATGTTTGAATTAAAACATAACACATATAAACATTAAAATAGAATTAAACATATAAATATTAAAAGGCATATTTTAAACCATTAAACAATGCAGTGTCAGTCCCTTTGTTTTGATAGGACAGATGATAGATAGACAAAGGCTTGGGGAAAAATTAAAGACCCTGAAATCAGATTGCTTCACTACTTTTCATTGTATGATGTGCCTGAAGGCTACAGTGTAACCCCACTGTTAGTGCTAATTGATAAGCTGCTCAGGTGGGTAGATAGAGATAGATCACACTAGTAAGAAAGAGATAAAATATTTTCTCTCATCTAAGTTATACTAAAATGTATATCCCATTATGATTATGATGGATGCCTGTTAAGAAGCTTATGGATGTGTAATGAATACTGTTAGATATAACAATGCTCAAAAGATTAACCCTTGTATATCCAAGTGTATGTAGACAGCTGTTCAGAGATATATTGTTCCCCAACAGAAGAGATGGTGTTGATAATACATATATGGTTGAAGTTTATTGTTTAAGATGGCAATGCTCTTCTGTGTGATCATTATAGGAACCCCTGATACAGAGATACAGAGAGAAACAAAATCCCTATGAAGCTATAACATATTACTTGACATATATTGGAATTTTATGAATATATGACGTCCTCCACACAATGTGATATGATGAAAACAAAGCACTCAGGTATTGACATGTCTATGTTTCTTCCTAAGAGGAATGTATATGTTTGTGTATCTATGATTGTCTATATTAAATAGACTGAAAATCACCAAAGAGACTGCTCATTGTATTTAATATTTATTTAAAACATTTATATTCTGCCCTTCTCGTCTCGAAGGGGACTCAGGGTGGAGCACAACATATACATGGCAAATATTCAATGCTGGAACATAAACAAACTATAAACATACACACACTCTAAAATCAGTTATCTTCACATTAAAATCAACAGCTTAATACCATCTGAAATCATCCATATTGAATCCCGTCAGGAGGGTAAAGTTTTCTATTGTTTCCTTATTGCACTGTCCCAAAAGCTTGGTCCCATAGCCAGGTTTTTACCATCTTTCTGAAGGACAAGAGGGAGGGGGCTGATCTAATCTCACCAGAGAGGGAGTTCCATAGCCAAGGGGCAATCACAATCTCTGTGACAGTGGTGAGACCAAGAGCAGGGCCTCCCGAGAAGATCTTTATTTTCGCATATAAATATCCCAGGATTCTAATATGTAAGATGCTTAAGTGGAGTGTTGATGTTAACTCTATGTATCTAGTTTTCACATCACAAGTTGGACACTCAGGTGGCCAGAAGGCAATAACAGAATCCTAGACAGAATCCATATTAGTTGAAAATGGCAAAGAGCCCCCAATCCCTAAAATCTAGAGATAGGGGCATAGAGAACCATGTCTGTATCACTGTGTAAAAGATTTATTGGGCTACATAAGTATTTGGCTTAATTTACTACAGATCCCCTTACAATCATGAATGAGTACTTGCATGTGCCAAAAATAAAAGAGTAATAGAATTTTACATTGAGTAGCTACAACCACAGTTTTGAAATGACAAGCATTTACAGTTTGATTTCATTCTGCATTATCCCAACCTCACCTGTGATACAATTTAAAGGGAGCATAGACAAATTG